TGTGACACTAGTAGCATAGGGTCAACTATAAAGATAGCTGGACCAAGTCACGTCTAGACTTGCCGAAGTAATAAAAATTTTATTTTTAATTATAAAAATACTATAATTTCAACTTGCTAAAACTTTTTTATAAATAGATTTACAAAAAATTTAAGAATATAAAAGTGTTTAGCTTGTTTTGATTTAACATTTTAAGATAGTATTTTTTTTTTACTATTTTTTTAAAAAAGAATTAGCAATTTAAATCTCATTAATTTTATTGATTGGGCCTAGGTTGTATACACTATAGCATAATTAGAAATTTAAAACAAATATTTTATTAAAAATCATTTATTTTTTAAAAATTTGTATAAAAAACCATCTTTTGTATATTAACAAAAATTTTCCTAAGCAATTTTACTATTAAAACTCTTCTAATTCTAATCTAAATAAAATTTAAAAAATTTTAAATGATAGTAAATTTTTTAGGTAATACTAAAAAAGTCATATATTGTATATAAAATTACTTTTTATTTTTATTACTTTTTTAGAATTTACAAAAATATAGTTTTTTAAATATCAAATAATAATAAATTTTTTAGATAATGCTAAGAAAGTTATTTATTATACCAGTCTTATATAACAAACTATGCTTTTTTTTTAAAAGCTTATTCATATAGAATATATATAAAAATATATATCTATATGAATGAGTTATTTTTATAAAAGACAAGACTAAATATAAAGACTAACATTTTAGTCAGATGGGTTTAAAATTCTCATAATAGTTTTTAAAATTCTTGTAGTAAGTGAAAACTTTGTTTGGTCTGTTGGTAATTTTTAAAATATTTATAGTAGAGCAAAAACTATATTTTGTCAGATTATTTTAAAATCTTATTTTCATACTATATTTTAGTTGAAAATTTTTAAAATTCTCATAGCTAGTGAAAAGCTTTATTTGTTTGGGCTATTTTAAAGTTTTTATAAGTAGGAAAAAACTAAATTAGCTGAATGATTTTTAAAATTCTTATAATTGGGTGAAGACTATATTTAGCCAGATTATTTTTAAAACTTTTATAATTGGTAAAGACTGTATTTGATATTTTTAAAATTCTTATAACTGAAATTATTAATTGTTGGGTGAAGAATTAATGGTTAGAAAATATTTTTAAGATTCTTATAGTCTTGAATTCAAATTCAAGCTTGTTTTTAAAGTTAAAGTTTTAAATAAATAATTAATTAATTAAAAATGTTTATATAAAATAGTTCATTGAATTAGTTCTACTTTTTAGAGATATTTTTTTTTATCGAAACTGATCTACAAGTTGTTTTGAAGTTTTTTTTCATGTTTGCAACAAATAAAACATTGGGCTTCAAGATCATTAAATAGTAAAGTTGCTATTTGATATTTAAAAAAGAAAAATTAAAGATCATCAAATAGTAAAGTTGCTATTTGATATTTAAAGAAAAATTAAAGTTGAAATAAGTAAGTAAAATTTTACAAACAACTAAAAAAAAATTACTTTAAATTATTATTTACATACTGTACAAGCGCGAAATAATGCCCACCTGCGCGTTAATTTGAGTATGCGCATGCGTGTTATTTTGAAACAAGAATTAAATTTGCACCCCTAACTAATAAGAATAAAAAGTGCTCTGAAACTGGATTTGATATTAAGTAAATTTATTTTTTGGCTTTAGCAAAAGTTGTTTTTCAGGTTGAGACAATTTTAACAGTGGTAAAATTATCAAAAAAAAGTCCTGTAGTTCGTCCGCAGTGCCTCTTCAAAGTTTCGAAATGTTTGTTTACCTTTTGTTTACATAATCTGTAACAAATATTACAAAACTTTAAAGAGGTATTGCGGGCGAACTACAGGACTTTTTTTGATGATATTACCACCGTTAAAATCGTCTCAACCTGAAGAGCTAAAGTCAAAATAGATTTACTTAATATCAAACTAGTTCTGAAACATTTTTTACTCATTTATCTTTTTTTATTTATTTATAGGGATGTGTGTTAATTCGGGATGCCCATGGGCATTAATTTGAAGCTACATATACTATTTTAGGGGTATCTGATTTTCGAATTAATGCCCCTGGGCATTATTTTACGCTTATACGGTATTCCTTAAAACAATATAAGACCTTGCACATAATAGTATAGCACTTTAAAAAAAATTGTATAAATATTAAAACTTTCACTATATGTAACAGGTGCCAATTTCTTTAGCATAATTTATATCTGCAGATTTTTGATAGTATTCATTTTTTCAGCTGTGAATGAATTTTATAATAATTATTTTAGTCGTTAATCAAATTAGAATTGATTCTTATTTCTGTATAATCATTTTAATCATTTTTACAAATGATTAAATATTTTGAAATCAATTCTAAGATTTAGAATCAATTCTAAATATATAATTGTTTTATATTAAACATTTAAATGACTAAATTTTAATTAAATATAATAAATGTTCTCTTGTTTTTAGATACATGTATAAAAAAACAAAGCTGTATTTATCACTAAAAACAATAGGCTTAAGGTTTAAAAACAGAATGTGCTCTATAATTTTTAATAAGTTACAACAATGTAATTTCAGAAAGCTATAGAGGCTTTGAAAAATAACAGTTTGAAAATATATAAATTATATAACAATAAATTAATAGAAGAAAGCTAAATAATAACAAACATAACTATTTATATTTTTTATACACTTATCTAAAAACAGAGAAAATATTGAAATTTAGCAATGGCATTAAATTTAAATAAATATTATAAAAGTAGTTTATTATAAATAATAGGCTTTAAAGTTTAACAACATAATGTATCTTAATAAAACTTTATAATAATTCTTAAATAAATATAAACTTTATTTTTTAATTATAAAATATTTATATTTAAAAATTATACTTTTATTATTTTAGAGTAAAGTTTTTTTGGCATTTGCTTTTTTCTCCACAATTTTTTAATTTATATATTATTGCTCATATTTATTACTTTCTATATATTAATAAAAACTTAAATTATATTATTTATAAATATATATAATCAAATAATCTATAGCATTTAACAATATACAAGACAGATTAAAGCTTAGTCTGGTAAATCAGAACAAAAAATAATATATTTAAGATTTGATCATTGATTCTAAAACGATTTTTGGGATTCGATTATCAATTCTAATTTTTAGAATCGATTCACAGCCCTACTCTGATAACAATATAGGTAGGTGCCTTTAGCATCACCCATATTACCAGACTTTTGATAATAATAGAACACTTTTTTTTTTTATTCTTTTCAACTTCAATTCCTTCTCAGCGCCAATTCCATTTGATAACAATTACCAACGTTAAATTTCCAGCAGCATTACCTATATCAGCAGAGTTTTAATTCTTTGCATTTATCTTTTTTGACTTCTATTTTCATACAACTTTCAATATTCCTCTTACATCGTCCATTTCGATGCCTTATACCTGTTGTGCCTTAGACTATGAAACCAAAACTTTATTAGTTTTCAATGTTATACAACATCTTGAAAATAATCTATTTAATTATAACTCATATATATAGTTACCTTTTCATGCAAACATCAATCGTGTTATGTCAGGATTTTATGTTTGACACCAATTTCGCTTGAATAATTATCATTACAATATGTATTTTATTTTTCATTCTTGTCATTCGGTTTTAGTTGATCCTGTAACTTTTTAAATTGATCATTGGTTTGTGTTTCATATGAGTCAACCTATAAACACATTTATATTAATAACGAAAGGTTTTTTAACCGCGATCATAAAATAATGTCTATTTAATGTGATAAAATAAATACTTTTGCAGAGAGTGTGTCTTGCTTCTTTTTTAAATTTTCTTATATGCAACCAACTAGTTAATGCGAATAAAATAAATATTAATAAATTATTAAATACTATAATTAATTTTAAACACTAAATCAAAACCAAATAAAAAAAAATCCTTGAAGTGCTTATACGTACCATAAAGCAAACGAACACAATCATCATCACTATACTGTTTTTTTTTTTGACTTTAGAATTCTTCAGTAGTATGTCAGAGCAAACTTATCTCTAAACATAAATACGTAATAGGCAAATCTTAGGTGAAATGTTAATAATAATAGAAAGTTAGATCAGCTAGTATAAAATGATTCAAATATTTATTTCTATAAATGAGATCTACAAGAAAAAGAAAGATCTATATATATAGAAAAAAAAATAGAAAAAATCTATAAAAAAAAAAAGATCTATAAAGGCGCTAATTTTCGTCTATTATTTGTGCACATTAAGAAAAAAAAACTATAATTTAATATAAAGTTAAACTAAAAACATACGATCTAATAATATCGACAAAGAAAAACTTGAATCTTGATTTCAAATTTCCGCTTGATACTGATAACTTACCATCATGGTCATCTCTAAGCTATTTGATGAAGGAATCAATTTTTCTTGTTTCGTCTAACAAAACTTTTTTAGAACTCATAAAAAAAAAAGATAAAATGAAAATAAAAAACGTACAATGTCTACCAACAAAATAGTTGGTTGATATAGGAAGGAGGAGAAAATTTTTTCCAAGAATCTCTATGATAATTGCGACCCTTTGATAACACAGTTTCGAATACTTAAGATATTGTCTTTTATTAGAGTCCTCATTAATTAAATAATTTCCAAGCAAAAAATATGCAGCTTGTTTTGAATTAACATCACCAATCGAACAACTACATTTCTTTGTAACAGTTGCCGGTTTACTCTTAGTCCAACTCACTAAGTCCTTAATATACTCTTTTTTGTTATTCGCACAGTTATATTCATTCTTTACATTCTCCCAATCAAATTTTTCTAGGCATTCTTCATCACGAATCTTTATGCATGCGTTTACAACAACATCCGAAAAATCAGACATCAATTCATCTACTTCTACACCATTTTCTTTTTTTTTTTAGTTTTATTTGTAGCCCTGCAGTTTTTAATTCCTCTTCCTTTTTAAAAAGTATAAAATTTAAACACTTAAATAAATAAATAAATAAATTTGTGCTTACAAAAATTGGCCTTTTGTTTGGATTTTGCATCAAATTCACGATATTTTCAAGGACACCTTCCAGCTAAAATAAATTTTAATTTATTTGTTATTTAAAAAAAATAGCCTAGATGATTTTAATTACTTATTTCTTTATGCTTGATAATTTCCTGTTCATGCTTAATGATAGTTTGTTCAAGGTTATTGATCTTTTTCTCTAGGTTTATAGCAGGTAATTGACCATCCGACTTGTTGCTTCGTAACTTCATTCTACCTATTTTTAAAAAACTATATAGAGAGCCAAAATACGTATATACATGCGTTGGAATGAACTGGCGATTGTTTGCACAATACATACATACATACGTCGGATTGAACTAAGAAAGTTGACTGTTCTTTTTTATTTCGTACTTCCCAGACTTCAAGGTTTCGTGCACAAAAAAAAAAATGGCCACAAAGAAATACAGGAGCCGTAAACAAAATGTTATCGCAAAAAAAATATATATATATTTTGCAAATCGTGAAAGAAAACTCAATTCTAACTGTTCTATTGTTTTGTATTACTAATACGCTTTTTTGTTTACTCTGAATAGGTATGTGAGTATCAAATTACCAATAGTCTAAAGGCGCGTCAGTCGGGGATATGAATCAGTATACTCACGTGAAGAATATAAGGATTTTATTGGCTATGTCTATAATAGGAATTTGTATTACTAGCACAAATAAGTAAAGCCGTGTTAGAGGCGGTGTAAGGGTTAGGTGATAGGTTAATTTGTTTAGTGTTAATAAACAAATAATGTAATTGTATAATTACACGTGATGTGATGATCACTGGGTTCCTTGTTCTTCAAGTGTCCCTCGAACTCTAATGAGTTCTACCAACTTTCACTAAGCTCTCCTTTTTTTGAAGCAAAACAATAGGACTTAAATACTTTTGACTAATGCTGCATATATAAATGTCTTTTACTAGCTTATTCAATTTTAATATGTTTTATTTTTAATAAATTTAGAATAACAGGATTGATCTGGTACGAAATTGTACCAGGCTTAGATGACTAGAGACAAAATTGTCTTGTGGTGATTTGGCTTGTAGCAAATTGCCCATGGCAAATTTGTCTTGTGACAAATTGCCTCACATATAAAATTTCTACTTTTAGTTACACATACTGTTCCAACTTCATAATAAAAATAATAATAATAATAACATAATAATAATAATAGACAAAAATAAATAAAATAAACAAATATATAAAAAAATTGAATCATGAACACCCAGGCCTCTTTACAACATATATATATAAATATATATGATTGTAAAAATAATAATCGTAAAAAAAACATAACTGGTCAAAACTCTCTCCGTCAATCACTAAAACCAAATCTGGAGCTAAGGAAAAAACAAAGTTTGACAGTTCCTTTATTAAATCAACAATAGAACTAGC